TCTATTCTGTTGAACCCCTTTTCTGTTTCATTTTATGTGCTTTTTTCATGTCCCTCCATTTGGTTCCTTACCATTCTTTCCACAATGTCTCTTCTCCCTTTTGTTCCTTCTGGTTTCACCCTCATTTGGGGTCATTTTTTTCCTTCCACTTTTGCCCTGAGCTGTGCTAGTCGACACCTTCTCTTCTCACTGTCATCTCCCTACCTCTCCTGTGAGCTCTTGCTCTTCTGCTCTGAGTGCTTGCTCTGTGGTTTTCTTTTTTCTGTTTTGTAAAAAATTTTATTGCCATTCATTTGCTCTGTGACAGCGTTTTCCAGTGTGTAGACTTAGTCTGCCTTTGGTTTTCCAGTTTCTTCCTTAATTTTTTCTTGTTGTATCTTTGTATATATCCTGTGCAGATTTCATTTTTATAACTCATCTTTAAATAGGTGAGTTTTTCAGGGACTAGCTGTTTGCAGGATGCTTGTTTAGAAGAGGTGCCAAGTCTGTGTTCCATCCTGGCTGTGGTCATTCTCATGATTTAGGATTCTGGGTGAGTTCATTTACCCTTTATCTCTGTCCAGCCAGCAGAGATAGGCATCTGTGAGCTTTTCCACGACGCAGACGCTGCCACAGAGTTTAACTCTGTTAGGCGAATATAACTTGTTTGTGTGGTTTCTCAAGTAGTTCCAGATCCATGGAAATTCCTGCCTCTCAGACAAGGAATCTGTTTGGTTCCAAAGAACATGCCCTTTACCTACAGGAAGTATATTTTGGCAGGTCTTTCTCTCCAGCTCCCGTGTCCCATTTCCATAGTATCTTTTCTTCTTCTTTTTTTTTTAAATCTTTATTTATTTATTAATGAGAAACACAGAGAGAGGCAGAGACATATGCAGAGGGAGAAGCAGCCTCCCTTCGAGGAACCTGATGCGGGACTCGATCCCAGGACTCTGGGATCAGGCCTCTTGACTCAAAGGCAGATGCTCAACCACCGAGCCACTCAGGCACCCCTCTTTTCTTTCTGTGAAGGAAAGGAATCTTGTTTGCGCTCCCTACTTTTGACAGCTTTTCTAGCTGTCTTAGAGTCAGATTTAGGTTGTCTTCCAGTTGTGTTGAAAATGGAGTTTGAGAGGTACCTGGTGGCTCAGTCAGTTAAGCATCTGCCTTCGGCTCAGGTCATGATCCTGAGTTCCTGGGATCAAGCCCCATATTAGGCTCCCTGCTCAGTGGGGAGCCTGCTTCTCTCTCCCCCTCTGCCTGCCACCCTCCAGCCCCCCACTTGTACTCTCTCTCTGTCTAGTAAATAAATAAAAAAAATTTTAAAAAATTTTAAAAATGGAGTTTGCATTTTTGTTTATTTTTCCTTTTTGCATTTACAAACACATCTTGAATAGCACCTTAAAATTATGATTTCGTGATACAATGTTCAAAGAAATCTTAACTGATGTTTTTTATTAACCAGTTGCTGGTCACCATGATATTCTGTATTAGGCCTTTTACTACACTTTCTCATCAAGCCTCCACCACCACACTGCCATCCATCTCCCAAGCACCTAAAGCCCCAGGAATATACTACTCAGACTTAGGAAAGATGCCTACTTCTCACTAGGCATTGTTCAGTCAACATGCCTACTTCTCAGTAGGCATTGTTCTAGGCCTTGGGGTTAGAGCATGGAAGAATTCACACAAGATCTCTGACACACCAAAAACGAGTCTTAAAATGATTCCATATGGACTAGCAGTAAGGAATGGACAGGATGAAAGACACCATTAGGGATTTTGAGGAACGATGGTGGAAAGCGTGTAGAATATGAGCTCTGGAGTCAGTCAGACCTAGACTCGGTGCTCTGTTCTGCTACTAATACATGTGACATCAGAATAGTTGATTGACTTTTCCGTACATCAGCTCCTCATATATAAAGTGAAGATTATATTACCTACCTCACATGGATATTATAAAATTAAGTTACATGCGAAGTGTTCATTGTATAGTAGATGCTCAACAAGAAGTAGAAGCCCATGAAGAAGGGGCTCATTAAACAAAAGGAATAAAATACTAGGAGTACTGGTATAGAGGAGTGTTTCTTTTAGTTGTGGTAAATTTTATGTAACATAAAGTTTACCATCTTCATTTTGAAGTGTACTGTTGAGCAATGTTAAGTACATTCACATGGTTGTGCAAGTTTTCTCCAGAACTCTTCATCTTGTACAACTGAAACTGTCCCCATTCCCTCCTCCCGTCAGGCCTGGCAACCACCATTCTACTTTCTGCCTCTATTTTTGGCTACTAGGTACCTCAGATCAGGAAATCATCTGTATCTGTCCTTCTGTTTCTGGCTTATTTTACTTAGTGTAAGGTCTTCAGGGTTAATCCAGGTGGTAGCTGGTGTCCGAGGTTTCTAACTTTTTAAGACCAAATAATATTCCTTTGTACGTATATGTCACATCCACTCAGCCATTGATGAGCACTTGGGTTCTTCTGCCTTTTGGTTGTTCTGTGGATAATGCTGCTGTGAAGACAGGCATACAAGTGTCTTTTGGAATCCTTGGTTTTAATTCTTCTGAGTATGTGTCCAGAGGTGGAATTGTTTATATGGTTATTCTCTTTTTTAAAATTTTTTGAGGAACAACCATACCAATATACTTTCTATTTAAACAGTGATTTTTAAAAAGATTTTATTTATGTATGTATGTATGTATGTATGTATTTATTTATTTATTTATTTATTTATTTATTTATTTATTTATTTATATATCTAGAGAGAGCGAGAGCACACGGTAGGGAGGAACAGAGGGAGAGAGAATCTCAGGCAGACTCCCTGCTAAGCACAGAGTCCAACAAGGGGCTCAGTTTTACCACCCCAAGATCATGACCTGAGCCGAAATTGAGTCAGGTAGTTAAGCAGCTGAGCCACCCAGGTACCCAAAAACATATGCTTTTATTACACTTCCTCCCTGAAGCCAGAAGAAGTACCCTAGTTACATCTGGGCAAAATACCAAGGACTGATGTGCCAGAGAGCTTCGTGTGTCAAAAATGCACACACAGGGCAGCCCGGGTGGCTCAGCAGTTTAGCGCCGCCTTCAGCCCAGGGCGTGATCCCGGAGACCCGGGATTGAGTCCCACATCGGGCTCCCTGCACGGAGCCTGCTTCTCCCTCTGCCTGTGTTTTTTGCCTCTCTCTCTCTCGCTCTTTCTCTGTGTCTCTCGTGAATAAATGAATAAAATCTTAAAAAAAAAAAAGAAATGCACACACATAGGCACATGGACATATATACTGTCTTGACTCTCCATTGTCTGCAGTATAAATTGGCCCTCAGATCCTCCATGGTCCAGTCTAGATGCTAGACCAATGAGTCTCATCTGGGGGCGATTTCACCAGGAGACATTGACCGTGTCTGGAAGCATTTTTGGTTGTCACAGCTGGAGGGGCGCTAGTGGAAAGTAGTGAGCAGAGTCTAGGGGTGCTGCTAAATATGATACAATGTACAGGACAGGCCCCTGCAACAGAAAATTATCCAGCCCCAAATGGCAGTAGTACCCAGACATTAGGCCCAAACTACCTTGTCGGCATTGTCTCTAGACTATTGCATAAATCTGCCATTCCTGCCAGATCCAGTGCTCCTTATACCCAACACTAGCTGAATTGCTTCCTCCGGTGCCTTTCACCTAAAGTCCTTCTCTCTGCTTCTTTGATGTCAGAGCCCCACTCAGCCCTCCCACCATCTCAGTGAGCCTCTCTGGTCCTTGTAGCCATTGCCCTCTTCCTTCTCAGACTGCTAATTTGGTGCTTAATTAATAATAGAAGGTGGTCCCTGTGATCTTTCCAGCATGACTGAAAGCACCTCAAAGGCCATGTTTATATGATTTGATTGGAAAGAGGAAGTTCCACCCCTCACCCTGGCAGGTACCTCTGACCTCTAACCCTCTGGGGGTTTCCATGGCCACCTTCCTGCTGCACTGTAGGGTACAGTGGTTGAGTCAGCAGCACGGCCACTGGCACAGCAGTCGAGTACACGGAGATTCAGCTTTGTTGGGGAGTACTGGCTGGATGGAACCTGGGCCCACACGTGAGCCTGCTGACCAGAGAAGTATTCATGCTGAGGCTGGTTTCTTATCCAGGCTCTAAGGAAGGGATGAGGACAAGTACAAAGGAGTGGCCTGTTTTGCCCCCGGTAGAGCACAGGCTCTGTAGGGTCTATCTTACGAAGGCTGGGAGACACCCCTTGGGCAGGACTTGTTCTGCCACAGCTGGACTGATGGGATGCATCAATGGTGACAATGATGGGGATACTAGTAATGAAAGCCATCCTGACTCATTTAGAACCCATGGTGGGGGGCAGCCCGGGTGGCTCAGCAGTTTGGTGCCTGCCTTCGGCCCAGGGCATGATCCTGGAGACCTGGATCGAGTCCCATGTTGGGCTCCCTGCATGGAGCCTGCTTCTCCCTCTGTCTGTGTCTCTGCCTCTCTCTCTCTCTCTCTCTCTCTCTCTCTCTCTCTCTGTGTGTGTGTGTGTGTGTGTGTGTGTGTCTTTCATGAATGGATGAGTGAAATCTTTAAAAAAAAAAAAACCCATTGTGGGGCAGACATCAGGCCAGGTGTTAGATACAGGTTATCGCAGTCAGTCCTCACAATTCTGGAAGGAAATTGGAGAACTAAAAGGGTAATTTACCCAAAATCACTCAGCTAACAGAGAGCGGAGCTGAAATTTAAATAAGATCTGTCTGACTTTGGAGCCTGTGCTCTCAGCCTTGAGTGTGGCCAGGCAGTTCAGCCGGTAAGAATGAGCTATCAAGGCTCATGGAAGAGGTTCATGTTAGAGAATGCTGAGACGTGCGGGGCATCTGTCTGCTCTCACTGGAGAGGTCAATGACCAAGGGGCTCAGATATCTGTTGGGAATCAGGAGCTAGTGTCAGGTCCAGCTGCTGGGCTGGTGCAGGAAAAGCCATGAGGTCTGTTTGGGCCACACCCCAGCTACCACAGAGTGCTCTAACCCTTCTTATTTTTATTTCCCCTTTAGGTGCACTACATCCTTCAGGAGGTGGTGATGGGTGGGATGGTATTGGAAACCAACATGAATGAAATTGTGGCTCAGATTGAAGCTCAAAACAGACTGGAGAAATCCGAGGTGAGTGCATCGCTATGATTTTGCCCCAGCCAGTTCGAAGAGACTGAGGCAGAATGGGGAATGGATATGTGTGTTGGCTTGTGTTGCTATGGAACCTTAGGGATATTTATGCTCTTCTTTCTTCCTTGGTCCATCAAAACCAATTGATATGAAGGCCAGTGGTGAAAATTAAACATGTAAGAATTACGGCTAAAAGTATGAACAGAAAAGTCAGATGGCGCTGGAAGACAAACAACATGGGGATTATGGCCCATATTTGTGGTTTGTCATTCCTCCTTTCAAAGCTGTACATTCCCTGGAGGGAGCCAGAATGCCCTTTCCTGGTCCCAGCATGGTTTCCTAGTGCTATGGCAGTCTGATCTACCCATGGACATTTCTTGTGGTGTCTTTGAGACCTCAGAGTTGCCAGTTTCCTTATTTCCAGTTAGCTTTACACTCGGGCAGTAGAGTGTTTGCAAATAACACTGTATAGTGCTCAGTAGGGATGCCTGGCTGGCTCAGTTGATGGAGCATGCTGATCTTGGGGTTCTAAGTTTGGACCCCAACGTTGGGCATAGAGGTTACTTAAAAAAAAAAAACTCACAATAAATTCTGTCCTACTCATCTGAAGTCTCACCGTCACCTCCATAAGCCTTACCAGAGAGTAGAGGCTACAGGCATATACCTTCATACGTGACAGAGAGAGCAAGAAGTTACCTCTTTAACGAGCTGAGTGTCTTAAAGGCTTCATTGCCTCTTGTAATGGAACTTGATCTTGCAAAACCAGGAATTCCTCTGTCTGTGAGGACTGGTAGCCCTGCTAAAGAAGCTTTTCCAGACCACAGCTAGAGTGGCATGACAGTTTTTTTAGAGATACAAGCTGGGAAGCTTCCAGGAATAGTAAGTGAGTCAGAGGCAAGGGGTTTGGAAAGCGGAAGAATGGAGACGTGCTGGGCGAGAGTGTAACTGGAGTTGGTCTCCTAAAAGCAGTCACTAAGGAGGAAATGGTTCTGAAAGTCTTATTGGTTCCTCCCCTTCTCTGCCCTCCATGGATGAGCCAGAGGGGCGTGCCGAACATGGACACCTTCCTCTGTTTATTAACCAGCCTTTCTGTGGGTGTGGGTACATCAGACCCACATCCTTCCTCCCATCTTGTCACCACATGACATTTCCAAAGCCAGCTCTTTCCCATCTCACTGTGTTAGTTGGCAAGCAGTTGCCCGAAGTGCTGACTTCCTTTTACTTTTAAGAATTTCCCTGTGAAATGAATGAATGAATGAATGAATGAATTTCCCCGTGATGACACTTGTCTCTGAGAGTCTCTTCAAGAAAGCATTTTGTTTCAGAGCCTGAAAAGTGCCCCAATACTATGATTTCGTTATTAAACCATCTCAGATTTATTGGAGCAAGCATTTATTAAGCGCCTGCAGCATGCAAGGGACTCTTAGGTGCTGGGGCTACAACACTGCATAAGCCACAGCTCCTCTGAGAGCACGGAGTATAGGTCCCTACCCCACAGCTCCCATCTAACCTCAAGATCATTATGTTGGCTATCTTTGAGGAATAAGGAGGAAAAATCAAAACACCCATTGTGTATACTTAGTGTGGACCGTTCCAGGTCTCCGTCACTTGTGTTCCTAAGCATTAGGCAGATGATGCTGAGCGTGTCTCACGCCCCTCCTGTCTCTCCTCAGGGTGGCCTTTCCGCAGCCCCTGCCCGGGCCGTGTCTGCTGTGAAAAACATCAATCTGCCAGAGATTCCTCGCAACATCAACATTGGTGATCTGAACATCAAAGTCCCCAACCTGTCCCAGTTTGTCTGAGAGTCCACAGCTACTGAACTGCAGTCCTTGAAGCAAGTCAAGCTGGTCCTGCCACAGAGCCCACTCTGAGCCTTAGAAGGGTCAGGCCCTGGGCCCTGACACCTGCAGCCGTGGAGTTGGGGGTGGGAGGGAATCCTGGGTTCACGACTAGCATGTACCTGGTTCTCATATGTGCCACCTTGCCGGCCTCTGATACATGTGGCTGCTGCAGATGTGGGAGGGGGCCCTGGCTTCCTCCGTGGGGGTCAGTGTGCTCGAGCCACTTGTACCTTTACCTCGCGCCTGTAGCTACTTCCAGGGACTGGGCACTATACTGGGACCCACCTGCTTCCTAGAACCCACCACTAGGACATTCCCTGACTAGAGTCTTCATCCTTAGCACTGCGAGGCTTCTGGGGTCCTATAGCATTCACTTGCTGGCAGGGTGCCATAGCTAGGAAAGGGCTGACACTTCATATGAGGATACGTGGTGAGTGGCAAACAAGGGCAGAGTTTTATGAGAACTGGATTTGCCTTCTGGCTCCACTAGGGTTGTCATGCCCAGAGTTCTTTCGTATAGGCAAGTTTTCTGGTTACCACCACCTACAGAATGTTTCCCTCACTGCCACTGCCCTAGCTCGGTTTGCCCAGGACACACTCCAGATCATGAACCTGGCGCATGCCAGGAGGGAGAACACCCCCTTCCCCACGGCTGTTTCTTCAGCACAGCCATAGGGTCCCTCATCCACAGGGAGAGGCCCCGTGTCTGTGGAAGGCAAAGCTGACAACATGTGGAACATCTCAAAATTATGACTCTTTCGAGGTTTAAAATACATTCTTCTCACGAGGAGCAGACGGGTCAGTTGCTGTGTTATAAATGAAGAGTTTTCTCCATACAGGAAAGCCATTGCCATCAGTAACAGTTTGTGGAGTATGAGAGCCTAAGCTGGGATCACTTGTTCTAGAACTGGCACTGGGAAGGTTGGGGACACGGAAAGCGTGCTGGCCAGGACCGGTGGCTGTGTAGCATCATCTCCCTAACTTGGGAGGAGTCCCTTCCTAAGCTCTGCTTATGGGCCCTCGCCATTCCCCTCAGGTGACTGCCTCCCATAGCTGGCTTTAGAAACTTGTAAATTTTTCTGTGTGCTGAGAATCTTTCTTTCTGTGGTTAATTTAGAGCTAAAACTGCACTTTAGAGTAGTGCCTCTTCCTGTGCTGCATCAGGGGGCCAGGTCTCAGGACGTTAGGGAACTCACTGCATCATGGCAAAGCCCCCCAGTCTGGAGGTTTCCTGTGCCTGCTGACAGAGGGCCCAGACTGCCTGCCTGAGTCTCCTGCTGCTGCTGCAGAGCCCATCTGAGGTGGCGCCCATGGGACCACAGTGCTTCTGTCCTTGGCACCCACTGATCCCTGCAGCCTCTTGTCCTCACTCCTTCAGACTGTCCCTGATAGCCTCAGAGACGAGTGTGGTGATAGAAGTTAGGCCCTCTTCTGTCAGAGATGGAGGTTACTCTATCTGATGTCCCCACTGATACCATTTTTTTTTTTGGAGGGTTTAATTTTTTTTAGCAGACATTTCACATTCATACCCCCCCACACACATTTCCGAATGTGGAATAAGAAGGAAGAAGACTGATACTTACTTTGCACCTACTGTAAGGCCTTGTGAGCAAGATCCTTCCATAGCCCTTAGAACAGGATTGTCTCCATTTTGCAGGTGAAGAGAGTAAGGCTCAGGTCAAGTAACCTGCTTATATAGGACTAAGAATCGAGACTGCCTAAATCTAAATTCCACTTTCCTTTACTGCTCGTGATGGCTTCTTCAATTTTATCCTTTTTGTTACAGATAAGGAAACAGATTAGTAGCTTCTCATAAACACTGATGAAGCCAAGCCTGATTTGCTCAGTGGACCAATGACAACGTCCTTGAGGGCAACAGCTGGAGGCCCCTTACTTGCTCCATGGAACTGATGAGGGAACAGTAGCCCAGAGTGTTCAGGGTTGGATTGAGAGTCACAAAGCCAGAACCTAGACCTTTTTCTTGCGTTGATTTAGTTTTGTGGTTTCGTGTACTACTTCAGGACAGCTGGATATACTAGATTTCCATGGACAACCTTCAAATGTTTTTAGCTGCCAGAAACCATTGGTTTCTGCTCTGCTCCCATGAACCACTGACCACTGACAGGTCCCGTAGACTCCCAACAAGTGAGCATCCCAGTGACATTCCTCAGACTGCTCTAAAAGTAGCCAATAAATAAATAAATAAATAAATAAATAAATAAATAAATAAATTAAAATAAAATAAATAAAATAAAATAAAATAAAATAAAATAAATAAAGTAGCCTAAAACTTCATCCTAGCATTTTATTTGGAAAACTCTGTGCCTTTGGACAAGCCACAGTAACTGTTCATTAACTACTTGAGGTTACCTGTAAATCCAGCCAGCTCTCTTGCCTGCTACCAGCAAAGCCATAAACTTCTCTTTTCTTTTTTTGTTTTTTTAAATTAAGAGGAAATTGTATGCCTTTTTTTAAAATAAGATTTTCTTTATTTATTCATGAGAGACACAGAGAGAGGCAGAGACACACGTAGAGGGAGAAGCAGGCTCCCTGCAGGGAGCCCAATGCAGGACTTAATCCCAGGGCCCCAGGATCACGCCCTGAGTGACCACTTAGCCACCCAGGCATCCCTATCTGCCTTTTTGGAAAAAGGATATAGATTCTGCTGAGAAATGTCAATTATGAAAATAGAGACTGGGCCTAAATTTTGGAGCCCCTGGACTGTTTACACTGAGGGCCTCCTGACGTGGGACAGAATACTGGGTTTTCAGTGCTCACTGCCCCTAATTAAAAAATTTTGTTATGCAGTTTCTGAGTGCCTGGCACATGCCAGGCTCAGCTTCCTGCTCTTGTCTCTGCTGAGTACCTCTGAGTGCCCACATTGAGTGGCTAGCAGTCTGAATTTGTAGTGACTGGAGTTGGTGACTATGTTATATGGAATATTTAAAGGACAAGAACCATTTCCCACCCCCAATAGCCCCATCATGCCTTTCTGGGCAATGCTCTAAATAGCTTGTCTTAGTTCAAGCTGCTATAACAAAAAGACCATGGACTGGATGTTTGAACAAACATTTCTCACAGTCTGCAGTCTGATCAGGATCAAGATGCCAGCAGATCTGATGTCTCGTGAGAACCTGCTTCCTGTTTCATGGGCTGCCGTCTTCTTGCTGTGTCCTCACGTGGCAGAGAGAGAAAGCTCTGGGTTCTTCATCCCCTTATAAGGATGCCAGTCCCATCGTGGGAGCTCCACCCCCCTGACCTCATCCAAATCTAACAACCTCCCAAAGCTCCTCCCCCCCCTCCCCCAAAACCATCACACTGGGGATTAGACTTCCTTCAGCATCAAAATCTGAAGGACACACATTCATCTATACAAGGCACCTAATTACTTTTCTTCTTGGCCTGGTCACAGCCCTGTGTTTGTTTCAGCCTCCCAGGGGTGCCTGTCTCCCTGTGCTCATGGTTATTCTAGTGCCCACACACGCCCTTGTGCCACCTGGCCCATGCTCACAGGCTGCTAAATGGCTGTCCCCCCGTGTGAGATTTTGCCCTCTGAGGAGCATGAGAGGGTTCCCATCTGCTCTGTTCTCGGAGCTGTCAGCAGATACGCAGACAGGCCCCCTTTAAGGAAATGGTTCCATAGAAATGATTAATCTTTTCCGAAAGACTGCACATTCTTTCCTATTTCAGTGAATCATGTTTTAAGAAGGAAATCTGTTCATGTAGTTCAAAATTTAAGATAACAGAAGGCTGTTCAGCCAGATTCCCACTCTGTTCCCATAAACCACAGAGCCCCCTACCTCTAGTAGCAACACGGGTTTCCAATTTAAAGGATTAAGAAATAAAGTCCCTGGATGTTTATTACCAAAACTTGAGAGTGTTCTCTTTCTGAAAGAGTTAAGTTCCTTTTGACTTTGGTGATTGATCTCAGCCTGTTATAGCATGTCCCCCACTGGACAGAAAAGGGGCCTCTCAGACCACCCCACATAAAGTAGCTTCCTGACTTCTGCATCCCTATCCTTGCCCTGCATTTTCTTTTTCCATGGCACTCTGAAATATATATATTTGGGCTACAGACAGTAGCTACTGTCTGTCCCAGGATAGGATGTATGCCCCTGGGGGTGATGAGGGAGGCTCATCCTTTGTTTGGTACTGTGTGGACAGTGCCTGCCTGGTGCATACTGCTCCGTCAGGAGCTGGTGAGTGAGAGTCGAGGCAAACTGCAATTCCATCTTATGGTAATGTATAACTTGTGCTCTCTGGGGCCCTGTGCTCAGTCCTTCGGGAAGGAGAACCAGGGCAATGGTGCTGGGAGCAGCAGGAAGGGAAGGATCAGGTGATGGCCTGTGGAAGCTGAGGGGGAGAAAAGCGACAAAGCTGATGACCGAGGAACCCGAGTTACTGGAAGACCAGCGAGGGTATTACTTGAGAGGGGAGGAGGTGGTTTTGGAGGAAGAGAGGCCCAGACTTTGGATGTGAACATGTTAGACTGGAGTTGCCTGAGAGTAGCTGGGGCAGACATCCACCAGCCAACAGGGAGCCTGGGAGGAGGCAGGAGAGGAAACCGGTTGAAGCTGCAGGGGTGAGTAGTGTGGACATGGCCTGTGGGCAGAGGAAGGGAGAGGAGACGGTGCAGCACCTCCAGTCAAGGGGCCTTCAGTAAGAGGCCAAGGGGCTGAGGACATGGTCTCTGGGCTCATAGTTGTCCACATGTGAGACAACACAGTTCAGGAAGGGTGTTGAAGGGTGGCTCCAGCCAAGTGGCAAGGCATATTTGAACTGCAAGGTGGTCATGTCTGTAGGCCACAACCTCGCTCTGGGACATACACAGCCTGCAGAAGATCAGCATCCTCAGCCATAAAAAGCGGGAACCAGGGACCCCTGCCTCCAGGGGTTGTGAGGGTTAACAGAACTGCTATAGACCACGGAGGGCCCCCAATCCCTGGCTGATGTCACCACTGGGCGTTTTGCAGAGAGTGACAGAAGATGCAGTAAACTAGGAGGTTTGGAAGGTGGGAGGGGACCCGAGGTGGGCCTCAGAGGGCAGGCTGCTGGCCCGGCCCCAGCAGTGAGGCCAGGCTCCTATCCACAGGCCACCCCTGGGTAAAGCCATGGGGAAGTGGGGAAGTCTCTGGAAAGCAAAGCGAAATGAGTTTGAAGACAGAAGAGCAAACTTCTGATCGTTAGGACCTGAAGTGTGGGAGCCGCAGTCTGGAACCCCCTCCCAGGCAGCAGGGAAGTGGAAGGTGTCCGTGTTTGTCCAGGACTGGGGTGAGGGCCTCTGGACAAGCAGGCCTGGCTGAGAGTTGGAGTTCTGTAGGGACTCCACACTTTCCACTAGAAGTGGGATCTCTGAGCCTTCGCTAGAGCAAATCTTACTTTCTTGTTCAACTCTGACACTCTGACATCATCTGGCCTCTGGAGAGCACTTGAGAACAGGAATGCCCTCTCCTGCCTCCTAGAATTGGCCCCTGGCTTTAAGAGGGCAGGTGGAAGGTTTTCTTCTGCATTGCTGAAAATGAATGCCCTCTGCAAACACCTGACATCAAGACACAGCTGAAAATGATATAAAGGTAGAACAGGTAAATTCTCAAAGACTGGAGTCCACTGGTCCTCCAGATTGAGATGATCCTCAAAATATTTACCCGCCAGCATGGCTCAGGCAGTGACTCCTCAGAGTGGAAGTACGAGACAGGGAGTAGGGGTGTTACCAGTGGTCCATGTCAATCTGCCACCAGGAAGGACCTTGTCTCTCTGGAGGCAATAGAAGAGAACCCAGGAGGCAGCCAC